TGGAAATCACAGCAAGGCATGTGCACCAAACCTCTGGAGTGGAGCATGGGATTTATGGCTGGAGAGCACTGCAGATTTGGAAAGCACCGAGAAACAGACAAGAGCCAGCGTGGCCTAGTGGTTAGAGCGTTGGACTATGCCTCTGGAGATCAGGATTCGATTCCCAGCTTGGACATGGAACCCACTGGTTGACTTTGGGTGAGTCACACTCTCTCAGCCTCAGAGGAAAAGCAATGGCAAACCTCCTCTGCGCAAATCTCGCCAGGAAAACCCCACGATAGGTTCTTGCCTTAGGATCGCCGTAAGTCAGAAAAGGCTTAAAGGAACAGAACAAGAACAACCCTGTGCAATTGAATACGCTTCTGAAGTCACACTCTCTCAGCCTCAGAGGAAGGCCATGGCAAACCCACCTCTGAGCAAATCTTGCCAGGAAAACCCCACGATAGGTTCTTGCCTTAGGATCGCCGTAAGTCAGAAAAGACTTGAAGGCACGCATGAACTGTAATGGGAACTTATTATTATTAATTAATTATTGTATTTATACGCCACTTTTTAGGAACACTCTCAGAGTGGCTTACAAATTATTAAGTAATGCACCATAAAGATTGCTTCAAAGACTGTCAAGGGCTAATAGAGGCACAAGACTCCTAGGACTCATAAACTACAATTCCCAGGATTCCCTAGCACTGAGCCTCGACAGTTAAAGCGGTCTCAAACCGGATTATGTCTGCAGTGTGTTTTGGACCAACGGCTGCATCTGCACTGCAGAGATAATGCAGTCTGACACCGCTTTAACTGCCATGGATCAATGCTACAAAATCCTGGGATTGGTAGTTTATTGCGGCACCAGAGCTCCCTGACAGAGAAGGCTTAAAGTCTCACAAAACTACAAATCCCAAAATTCCACAGCACTGTGCCGTGGCAGCTAAAGCGGTGTCAAACTGCATTATTTCTGCAGTGCGGATGCGGCCTCAGTCGGAGGACACTGGTGCCCCAAGGAAACTGCAAATCCCAGCATTCTGTAGGATGGAGGCATGGCATGAAAGTGGTACCAAACTGCATTATATCTGTAGTGCAGATCAGACCCTAAAGGCGTTGAATGCTATGAAATCTGGGGGGGAAACAGAAAGAGGAGGCAGCCATCATGTGCAGAAAACCACTCCCCAATGCATCCTCCAAGCACATGCTTTCCTCTCCAAACAGGGGATGATGGGAGCTGCTGCAGAACCCCTGTGGCTGGGGATGATGGGGACTCTTCTGGCAACCTGGTGGCTGGGGATGTTGAGGGCTGACACCCTGGTGTCTGGGGACAATGGGATGTGTTCTGGGACGTTGGTGACTGAGGATGATGGGGCTTCTGAGGCACCCCGGTGGCTAGGGGATGATGGGAAGTTTTGTGACACCC